AGAGAACAGATTGTATCCATGAGGGCGCATTTAAATAGAACTAAAAGATAATGGGATTACCCCCACACACGTACTTTTTGATACTTCTTCGTATGCAAAACAGAACACAAACTCACAGAAATAAATGGAAGACATTTCTCAAAAGCTTACAAAATCCCTGAATGGATTCTAATCCTCTCGGCATGCTTCCTTGAGAGCAAACTGCTTCCGACACAAAGTACTGTGTTAGAAATAAATTTCAGGGGTGAAGAAGCTTCATTCTATTTCATACTATTATGAACACAATTTTCCTTCTAAAGTAATTTTGGTTATTCTATTTTCCATGTCAAACCATCTATTGAAAACAAACTGCAAAAACAAACAAACAAAAAAACCCAAACACACACACACACACACACAGAATTCACTGTATAAATTCATTCTTTAGGAACTTGGGTAAAACCCACTGCCATCAAACTGATTCATAATGACCCTATAAAGGGTGTCCAAAGTGATAACTCTTTATGGAAACGGCCTCATTTTTCTCCCACTGAGCAGCTCGTGGATTTGAATCATCAACCTTGCAGTTACCCTCCAACTCTTATCTAAGAGCACCGCACAGCTTAGTGAAATAACTGCCCCTAAGAATCATAAAGGATACTGAAAATCACTGTCAATAAAATAGGGTGTGCCCTGCCACATCAAAATAGGGCCCATGTATGTAACATAGTGCCGCCACTGTGGGGAAAGTTAGGTATTTCCTCCAAAAAGTAAGCATACAGCTACCATAGATCCTATTGCTCTGAAGTTTTCAAGGTTATAATCTTTACAAAAGTAGACTGCTGCACAGTAGTTGGGTGTGAACTAACCACCTTTCGGGGTGCCAAGTGTGTGACCACCACACCACCAAGGCTATGAGAACTACCATGTGATCCAGCGACTCCACTCCTAGACATCCCAACTCTCTGAAAGTAGACACACACACACACACACACACACACACACACACACACACACGCTCATTGCAGTACTAACAGTCAAAAGATGTAATCCCCTTGCACTTGCGTCTCGGGAAAACAGCCCTGCTCCAGAGTGAGGTCGGCAGGCAGGAGACTAATGGGGAAAGTCCCCAAAAGAAGAACCAGCAGAGGGCCCAGGAGGCGCCACAGGAAAATGGATTTGAAGACCCAGCTCTCTCTGCTCTCCCCAAACCCAAGAAAAAGAAATCTAAGGAGGAACTGGTCAGCAGCGATCCGGAAGGGACGCCTCTCCCCTGTGATACTCAAGAGGCAGCAAATGGGGGGCGCATCCCAAAGAGAAAGCAGTAGCTCTCCCGAAGGGGAGCCTGTCAGCAGTGGAGCCGAGGAAGTGGCTGTTAGCAGCAAGAGCAACAGCACTAAGAAAAAGAAAACAGTAAGAAACCAGCCCAGAACGACTAAAATGGACATTCCCTGGTGCTCCCCAACCCTCTCAAAAAAAAAAAAAAAAATGGAAACCCAAATGCCAACCAACACATGGACAAACACAGAGAAATTGAGTCCTGGTCCACACAACGACATGGCAAACCTTTGAGACCTCTCTCTCAGTTAAGTCAGTGGATCACATAAGGGGGAGTGCCGTATACTCTCACTTGAACAAGGCAAATGTATGCAGTCAAGTCTATGAGTGATGACTGGGGCAGGATGTGGAAGGGTGGTTTTTGTCGAGGTTTTTCTGTGTGATGACTGTATAACAGGATCAGTATCACTACATGACAGATCTGAAAAAACCTCATATTAGCAAACATTGTTACAGTATTTACAATTGGAAAATAATTAAAAAGGACCCACCAATTAGTTCTAAGACAGTTTTTGTGATGTTATCTGTAGCTGTGATATAGTGAATGTCAGTTTCTCTCAACCCCCAAACTGCCTTATGGTTTGCCTGGATACAAACCCAGCTATATGACTTGATGGTCAAAATAGTGAGGGTAACGCAGGCCCTACAGAGGTCCCAAGCATCTGTTTGCGTTGAGAGCTTTGTCCCTGCAACTTCCCTGAGTCCCTGAAGGGCACCCTGAGGGCCCATTAAGAGCTTGACCAATATCAGTTCATTCTGAGCGTAGTTATATTTCCTGGGCTCAGATGGCTTTTATGCCTTAAAAAAAACAACCTACAAAACTCTAATATTACTGTGAACAGAGCTCTCACCAGTCATAAGACTCACGTAGGGAAAAGAAGAGCAGAGAAAATACCTTAGTCTCTAAATTCCATCGAAGAGGCCAACAGTTACAGAAATCTAGATTGCTAACAGCACCACGACAGGCTTGCGGTCCATTGGTTGCCACCGTTCCTGAGTGAGAGCACCACTCCGCCTTCCAATAATGTTGCCTAACTCTTCCAGTTTCGCCTGCTGTGAGCTTGCAGGGACTGGGAGCACAAGTCAAAGTCGTGATTCTCAAGCTTTAGTGTTTATTAGGCTCACGTGGAGAACTTACCAGTAGATTACTAAGCCTCCCCTGTGAAAGGTGGAAAATGCTGCATTGCTGGTTAGTTCACAGGTGATGCTGATGGGGCTGGCCCAGACACCACTATTGAGAACCACTGAATTAGAGCATGCACTGTGTGTTAGTATCAATAATCAATGTGCACATTTATCTATCTTCCTTCTGCCTTCCCCGAGGGGTTATGGGAACTGAGATGGCTCTATCAAGTATCATCACTGATGGAAGTTGTCTCATTCAATCCTCACAATATCTTATGGCATAAGGATGACATTATTTTTATCACTGAGGGAACTCAACCTCACACATTTAAATGATTTGCCCCAAACCACACAATAAAGAAATGGTACACAAAGACATTTGTGGGACTCCAAAATCTAGATTCTCTTTATTACACCTGGATGCTCCAAACAGTGGTCAGAGTGAGGGTACTCGTGGGGGGGGGTGTTAGTCCATCCTGCTTTCTAAGTGCTGGTTTGTTTTCTACTTGAACTGTCTTAGCCTGTTGTTTTTAATTAACGTAAATGATTCAAATGAGCTTACTAGGAATAATAATAGGCACACATTTTTATTTACATAATGAACAATGGAGAGAGAAATCAAGGTAATTCCTGAAGAACGATGTAACCAACTTAAATTGAGACAGGTGATCTGATCAGTACCAGTCAAACTTTGGGAATCAGGCCAGAATGAATTAAACGGCTTTGACAATTGAAGTTGCCCAGTCATTGAATTAATACCAGGCATGATTTGGGAGGACGCTTCTTGGTGTGACTGTCAGAAAAGGGCAAAAAAAGAAGAGAGAAGGAAGAAAATGACCTTCCTCTGCCACTATTCTGGTTCAAAGAGAAAAGTAGATGATTTGAATTATTCAGCTATTGAAAAAATTGGCATCAAACCAGTTCTTGAAAGTAGTGTCCAAACCAAACTCACAAGCAGTAGTAAGAAAATGCTTCCAGCCAGCACAAGGCTGCCTAATTATAAAACGAGCCCCCACCTTTTCAGAAGACCATTGTTCCATCTTAATTAGCACGAGCAGCCCTAAACCAACAGGGTACATTCCCCTTAGGATAAATTACCCAGACCAAGGCAACAGAGCCCAGGACTCCCTAGAGGGAAATCTGTCACTACCTTTCCACCTGCACTACATCTATTTCTCAAAGGACTGTCTCCATCCAGCTGGGGGCTTCCCTGTCACAGGGCATCTGGTCCTCGGGGAGGGTACTCCACCCTGAACCAGGGCTGTGGAGCAAGGGTGAGGACAAACCCAGGCAGTTAACTGACCCATGGCCAGGGATGTAGCATGTCCTTTGCGGCCAGGCTGCATGTGCAGGGCTTTTATTCTATGCTGCTGAATGTTGCCGGTGGGGAGAAAACACGGGATCGTTAATAGAAAAGTACCTTCTCTTGTGCAGGATCAGCATACTGGCTAGTTAAGAGGCTGGGGTTGAGTTGCATAGACAGGGCGTGTCTTCAAACCCTCCAGCTGTGAAGTGGCAAACTCAATGCTACTATATTACTACTGGGTTTGAGAATGTACATAAAGACCTTGGTCGGCTTGGTTCAAACCCACCAGCTGCCCTGTGGAAGACAGATGTGCCAGTCTTGCTTCCCTAGCGATTACAGCCCTGAGAGGCAGCTCTATTCTGTGTATGGGGGCTATGAGTCAATCAGGTTGCTGGTGATGGGTTTGGTTTAATAGCTAATTTTTTGAAATACCCTTGTTTCTTCTCAAGAATGAAATCTGATTCAAGATTAGAGAATATAAATATCTTTATTTTTCAGCCTATTGCAATTCTTTTTGTTTGTTTGTCTTTTGCTCTTTTTTTTTTTTCAATTCTTTTAGCTTTTGTTAGACAATAGCCTTTTCTTTTCCAACTGGTAAATGTCACAGATGGTGGGTGGGAATAATTTCCACGCCCTCAAATGAATTTTCTCTGGTACGCCTGAACTAAAATCATTAACCAACAGTTGTCACATGGTACAGAAGAGGTGAGAACCACAGACTTAACATTAATTTCCTTTAAGTGAAAGATTAATTTACATTAATCACAATGCTTATAAAGCTCTAGCTTGAACGGCTCTTTAAAGAATTTGTCCTATGAAGAAAAATTAGTAGGTGATGGCCAAAGACAAATAATATTACAATTTGGGGCCCAAGGAAAATAGAGGAAAGGGCTTCTCTGTTTTTCCCACCAAAAATCAAGACGGTTCTCCCTCTGCCGGAAATGATGGAGCTGGGCCTTCTACAGCTATTTACAGGGTGTCTGTTGGATTTCCCAGCACTCACACACTGCTAACCCTCACTTCACACTGTTCCTAGGTGAATTTATCTCATCAAACTTGTTTACAGTTGGGATAGAACATTTCTGCTATGGCTGTTAAAACCACTGTCCATAAATAAAGCAATTCTCCTATTGATCAGCTCTGTTTTTCCCATCTCAGTATTACGAACACTTGCTCACAATACAAGAAGAGGAAGAAACAGACTCAGTCCTCAGTCTCAGATTGCTCCCCAGACTCGGAGGGCCAGTAGAACTCATGAATCTTCATGTGGGGGCTTCTTGGGCTGAGAGGGTTTCCCCCCAGGCCCCAAGCAGCCGTTGGCATTCTTGTGTGAGCGTTTGACATGACTGTCATGGGCAGCATGGGATGCAAAAGATTTACCACAGTACTTGCACTTGAAGGGCTTCTCCCCAGAATGCTGCCTGAGATGTGTACGGAGGATACTGGAGGCCGTGAATTTCTGTGAAAAACAAGGAAAAGCAAAATTCCATGAGCGGGACAACTAATGAGCCGAGGCGAGCATCCCTGTGGCTGACGACCTAGGGCACCCTGCGTTCTCTAAAAGACGAACTGTCTGCAGGCTTCCCAGCTACGGCGCGCTCTTGACCAACGGCTGTTCTTGACAGCACACTTAGTTGACACGTCCTTCAGGCTGGCTTCTGAGTGGCATTGGATATTAAAGAGGGCTCGCTGGGTGGCACAAACGGTTAAGTACAAGGCGTGAAAACACTATAACTGACTCACAGCACCCCTGTGAGAAAGAGATGGACTGTCTCCTTTCAGTTTCCATGTCCGAAACCTTCCACGCCTCCTCCTCCTCCTCCTCCAGAGCACCTCGGGAGTCTGCACTGCTGGCCCTGTGGTTACCAGTCTAGCAGCCCAAAGAGGCACCCGCCACACCACCAACGCTTCTCGGGGAACCCCGGGGGGCAGTTCTAAGCTACGGACCCGGGGTCCCCGAAAAGAGAGGCAATGGCAACTACAACAAGAAACTATTCGAGCAGTGCCTGTGCGGTCCAAGGGTATGGTTTAAAATGCCAAGTTCTCAACCCTACTTCAGAGTCTGAAGAACTTGGATGTGAGGTGCAGGGGCCAAATATCCAGAGATTGTGATGTAAGTGGTCCTATGAAGACACTCGAGGCAACCCGCTGCCCTCCGAGTTGATGCTGCCCCATGAAGGCCCTACAGTACAGAGTAGAACGGCCCCACCAGTCTCTGAGCTGGACATCTTCATGGAAGATGAGTGCCTGGTCTTCCTCCCTCGGGGAGTCTGGTCGGTTTGAACTACAGGCTTAGGGGTCAGCAGCCCCCCATTCTGCCACAAGGGCTCCTGATTGCATTTCAAGAGGAACTCATACCGGCCAAGGTAGCAGTCTGTGTAAATCCGTACCCCATTGCTTGTTCTTTCGTTGTAAACTTTCTGAGGTAATTAAGCGATTTGCATGCAGTTATAGTAAATAGTAGGTTCTCTTTGCTCAGTTTTCTCCAGTGGTACAGAAAGCCACGGTGCACACAGGAAACGACAGCTGTTGGCAAGGCTGTGGAGAACCTGGGCCTCTCCCTCACTGGCAGGGGGAGGTGAAATGGCACAGCTCCTGTGGCACTTTGGGGGTTCCTTGGAAATTAACCGAGCACCACCAGATGACCGGCGGCCCCCATCCTCAGCACACACTCAGGAGCTGGCGACAGTGCAGCCTGACACCAGCGCACAGTGATCCCGGGAGCGTTCTTCACAACCGTGGAGCCGTGGGAACAACACGTGCTTACCAACAAGACGATGGAGAACGTGCTGGCTCTGAAGGGAATTCCAGAAGTTCATAGGAAAACATGGAATCAAAGGGAAAAACGTTTCCTCACAGACATTTTGAAGCCCCCTCAGATACGGAATGAACTACGCTGCTGTAAAGGGAGGCGAGGGAAAATAAATAAAGAGGTGCGGTCCTGGTGCATGCCACACCCTGAAGACAGGCTGCCAAAGTGAGTCCCGGACCAAACGGTGATATTGTGCGAGCTCACTCATGAAACACGTCAACGATGATCTGCGGTGATCAGGGGCGAGGGAGAGGCCAAGGAGGAGTCTTTCTCGGGGAGTATACTGTGTTTACACGAGTGGTGGAGTGATTGGAAAAGACAGCAAAACAACGCACCACATGAAGACTAGAACCAAGCTCGCTGAATTATTCTAGAAGAAATTGTTGAGACGGCACGTTATCATGCACAGCGTCGCCACAATTTAAGAAATCATTGTAGTGCATCATAACCATGATATGGATAGTCATGACTCAAACATTTCCATCCCAAGAATCCCTCGTGTGTGTTGCCCTTTTGTCAGCCATACAGTTCACTGAGGCTTTTAGTTCCCACCCTCACCCCCTTAATTCCTGACAAGCCCAACCCCATTCTCCATTTGTGTAATAATGCCACTGAAAGAATCTCAGCCGAAAACGACTCTTAGTCCAAGGAACGACGAACATACCATAAAACCTCAGTCTCCACGGCAGTGAGACCAGAAGAACCAGCAGGGCCCAGCTCCTTCTGCCAGCAGCTCTGAACGAAAGCACTGATAGATAGTGTTTCAGGGGCCCTGGTGGGGTCGTGGCTATTAGCTGGGCTGCTGATTGCAATGTCAGCGGTTCAAAACTATCTGCTACTCTTCAGAAGAAACGTGAGGCTTTCTACTCTTAAAGAATTACAGTCTCAGAAAACCATGGGGAGCAGTTCTACCCTGTCCTATAGGGTCTCTGTGAGTAGGCAGTGATGGGGGGGGGGGGTTGTTGGTGCATTATTGGGAAGCATAGTTTCAAAAAGATCTCCTGTCAATCTAGATAAACTCTCACAAAAGAAAAATAATGTTATTATTAGATCAAACCAGAATGTAATATGTATCCCTGGTAATCTGTTAGATTATAAAAACAAGTACTTCTATCTTTTTTATAGACAAGCTTATCACAACTCCTTTTATGCATGCTCTCAAGATGAACAACTAGTCCTCAAGTCAGTGGTCTTGCAGCGCCATGAGTCATACATAAGGCATCCAGCATTCACTTGGGTAGTTGGGATGGCCCCGCTTTAGCTAACCACCTCTGCCGAAGTGGCGTGAAATGATCTGTCTTTAGGACTGCAGGTAGGTTTACACCTCGGAGCCAAATGCCAGGTAAAGGCAGGCTCCTAGCCTCCCGGCGGAGTAGGAGACAGGACCACTATCTTCCCTGATTGATCACTTACCAGAGAGATGTATGGCATCAAGGTCCTTGTGGGAACATGCCTGGGTTGTAAAATAGGCAAGGGGCTTCTTTAGCCTTTAAAATGATTTACATTGAGCACATTGCAAGAGGCAGAGAGAACTATGTTTTCTAAAGTAAACGTTCTTAAACAGAGTGAGAGGTCCCCTCTACCCGTTTTCAATAGGGAGAATTAATTTCTTCCTCATTTTTACTTCTAATCTGTATTTGTGTTTTCAGCATATGCATAAGTGGCTGTAAAAATAAGAGAACACAAAAACAAACAAAACCCTAGATGTGAAAGTATTGATTTTGAGGTTACAATTAAATTTTAGGGAGAAAGTGAACTGGCAAATAGAAATCCACTACTAACTAATGAGGATTTACTGCGTAAGAAAATGACTTAGATTTCCTGGGTCAATGACAGTGATATAAAACATCAGCTTAAACCAGTGATTTCCAGTCTGGGGGACTGGGTGATTCAGAAGTGCCCTCAATCTGACAGACTGCCTGTACTCCTTTTAGGGCTTACTTTTAAATGACTCGTAGGGTCAGAAACATCATCTATCTGTACTACTCAACAGGGCTCTCTGGGGGATGGTAATGTTCTATATCTGAGTTATTCAATTTGGTGGTTCTTGGATATTTAGCTCCTGAAATGTGACTAGTGCAACCGAGGATCTAGACATTAAATTTACTTCACTTCCGCGGCTTTCAATAGCCACACATGGCCAAACTGTTATCACCCTGGGATCGCATCACTGTAGATCACCCTAATGGGTTCTGAAGTGTTTTAGGATCTACTTCAGTGATCACGCTCATAGAATTATTACCTCTATTCCAGTAACCAGGTATTTCTTTCTCCTGCTTTACAACACAGAATTCTACGCCACAGTTAGATCAGATGCTATTTCTGCAATGGCCTTTTAGAAAGCTCAGTAGCGTCCTCCTAGTTTTAAACCTCCATAGATTAAGATAGTAACGATAAAACAGTACCTAATGTTTCAATAGTCCTTACAACGAGCTAGATCCTGCATTCTATAGCGCATGTGCTTACAGTAACTTTGTAAAGATTACTTGCTTCTCCCCCTTTCCCTGTGAGGATACTAGAGAGGAGCTACTTGCTCCAGGTGTGCACAGCAGAGCTTTAAGTGCCCTCGGTAAGGCTTGAACCTCAGCAGATCCCGTCTTCATAAATGCTACACAGCAGTGTCTGTGATTATTATTAGGTCCCTGTAAACTTTGGATGTTTCATTCCATAATTTCCAACTGTCAACTTGACAGCGAAACATAGCTTTTTTTTTTAGCAAGCTTGAGCATATTTGGGATGGGAAGGAGTGTTAAAGAGATGATAATGGATTGACTTTCACCAAGAATTCCTTATAAAGCAGGCCTGATACCTCAAGCTCTTATCCACGACTACCCGAGGAGGGAGCAAGAAAGAAAGACCTCATAGGAGGGTTCCACTTACCTTTGTACAATACACGCAATGGTAGGGTCTGTCTCCAGAATGGACGCGCATGTGTTTGTTTAGGCTGGAAGACTGAGAGAAACACTTCCCACACGTAGAGCACTAAGGCGGAAAAAGAGAAAAACATAACTGGAATCATGTCTCCTCCAAACACGTGAATCCATTTCCACATTTTGTTGGTCTGGGAGTGGGAGACATGGGGGCGCGATGTGTCCGTGCATCGGAGGCTCAGTGCCCCCTTCCCCAAGTCTAAATTGAAGAACCCAGTGGAGAGGATTCTGGTCTAGATTCTGTCCCTAGAACTGTGACCTTGAAAATTCACCCACCGCATCAAACGATAAAAGAGACAGCCAGATGCCTTGAAAATGTCTAAGAAAAAAATGACTTCAATCAAAGTTCTGTGAATAAAATAGCCTCAAAAAAGAACTCAAAAGAAATTCCTTTATGTATACTTCGAAGCAATCACCTGAAAATGTCAAATAAAACAAACTAATAAAAAGCTCCAAGGAAGAATAAGAAAAACTCCATTATCTTTTCATTCCGTTTTTCTGTGAACACCGGGAGGCCCCCTCATATGAAGTTCAAGTCTGTCATGGTTGTAAGCAATTAATAGAGTAAACAAACAGTATTTTGTGAGAAAACAAAGCTTTGCTGTAAACACCAATCAGGTATTCCGGGAGTTCGTAGAGGAATGCCTTACTAAACTCATGTAAAAACGTTTATATTCGCTATCATTACTGACTACAATTTTTTTCCTGGCATACTGATTTTGCATCCATCCTGCAGCTGATGGGCTTGCCTGGTAAACTAATTTTCACCAGTTTTGCTTCATGCTTAACCTGAAACGAACGGGCATGTAGGCTTTAAAAGCAGAAAGGAGGGCCGTATCAGAAGGCTTTTTAATCGATGGCTGTATAACCAGCATCATTTGCGTAAATCAGATGGTGTTGGTTACATTTAATTTTCCTCGGTCGTCGGATTTTTCAGATTCCACTGACCGCTGTGGGCCCAGCGGGTTTCTAAGACTGTGGGAATCTGTGCACAAGCAGACTGCTGCTCTCTCCTCTACAGAGGGGCTTGCCTGTGGGGTTCCAAGCTTCCGGTGAGCAGACAAGCATTTCGCCGCTGCACTGCCAGGGCTTCTTCTTGCTACAGGCACAACTTGTTAAACATAATCGATCTGCTGTTGGCTCAGTTTCACTTGAGCTTCTTTTCTTTCACTCAAGTAAAATATTTTATTAGAAAAATAACACAATGTTTCTGTACAAAGTGAATATACTTCGTCATGTTATCAAACTAAGAACTCAAGCGAAAGCATTAGAAACAAAACACTAAACTTCCTGCCGCTGCCCGGTAGGGTGGGGGTGGGGGGAGCTGTCCTTGGAGGTCTAAGAAACTATAACTCTTTTATTTAGTTTTTAAACTTTTATCTTAAGCCCAATTGACTCCTGAGCCACATGTTTTGGCTTCATCAGTTTCTTCTGGGAGATCTTTCCCTTCTGTGCAACCTCCTCTTCTGGTTCCGGAACACTCTCTGCCTTTCCATCAGGATCATCTCCGTGGGGCAGGGCGCTCACGGAGGGGCTGATGGCCCAGGAGCTGTGAGTCCGGCAGCGCACCTTGGGGGCTTTGTTCACCTGGACGTGCTCAACGACCAGAGAATCCCATCTGAACCCTTCAGGTCAGCATGACTCGGCATGTTGAAGCATGTGCAGCAACAAGCCAGCACTGTTTCGGGGCCGCCCACCCTGGGTCCAAGCCCACTGTTTGGCCTGAACATGCCCACCAAATTCAGCGCAGGCATGCCCCAAGGGCACACACCACTGCTGCAAAGCGACCGCTTTCAAATATTTAGTGGCTTTCCGGATATGCAAGCCCTTGATGGCCTGGGCAGTGTCACGGGTGTTCTTAAAATGGACCTGAAATTCTGCCTTCTTGATTTGCATGATTTCGTGGGGTTTTCTGGGTCAAGTGAGCAGCGAACCATTCTGACCAATCACCTCCAAGTGCTATGGGAAGAGCAAGGCTGTAACTCTTTTTAAAAAATTAATTGGGAGTTAATACTTATATCATTTCATAGTTCAATCACGTCAAGCAGTATTGTACAGTTGCTACCACAATCAGTTTCCACACATTATTTTTCTTTCTGAATTCCTTGACATCCTCTCCCTTTGACTCACACCCCACCTCCCAAATCTTTATTCTACTTGAGGTCCCTCTAGGTTTATCAATCCTGAGTCCCATGAGACTGTAACTCTTTACGGGAGTCGAGTCGAAAGCCTCATTGTAGATTTGAAATTCACTGGTAAGCAGTTAGAAGCCCTTGTTGGTGCTAAGGGTTAGGACTTGGGCTCCACACCTGCAGCCACTCCTCAGGAGATAGGAGAGGCTCTCAGCTCAGCTAGTGACTTAAGGTCAGGGTCCGATCGCCTCCGTGGAAGTGGGTTTGTGTTTTTTCCTTTGGGTTTCGTGGTCCTTTCATTATGATGAAGGATCAGGTTTTGAAATAGAAGGCAACTAAAGGAAACCCCTTGATTACATTGAGTCTGGCAGGCCTGTCCGTGTTCTATTCCCAAGTTAAAATCCCCCTTTCTCCACTTTCCCACGCAGACAACTCTTCTTTGGAAGCATTAAGTCATCCATCTACTCACTATTACCAGCATTCACTTCATCCTCATCATTCCTGTCATCCATCTATGGATCCATTAGTCTACAGTCCCCCATTCCAAAGATGCCAGGACCCAGCTACAGATGTTCCTCAATCCCCAACCCACATCCCACCATTATCCTCAGTGTTTAGGTGGACGGCCCATCTAGTAAATGGAACTCTGATCACCTTTTCCTGGGCTCTACTTTAGTCATAAGCAAAAAACCCCAAACACTGGAAGTCCTGCTTTTTTTGCACACAAATAAGACAAAGCTAAGATGCTCAGTTTTTTAAATTCCCCTCATTACTTTGTGTTAGTTAAAAAGAACATGTCACCAGTTCTTAGTTTGGCATGCCGATTGTAGAACACACCCCGATTTTAGAAGTATGGAAATGCAAAACATAACAAGGTACGTTCTAAAACTGAGTTAATATTGCTTGTAAGGTCTTACAAAAGCGTGCAACAGAATACACACTGGCCAAGGAGGACATAAACTGACATCACAGGATGAATACAAACTACTAATCTATCTACCCATCTATCTACCTTCCACACACACACAGCTTACCTCTTTAAATAATGAAAATGGCAACATAAATGGGCAATATTCATTACGGCCCTGAGAACTGGGGCTACTTCCAAACCAAACTCACGGTCATGGAGCTGATGCCTACTCAAAGTGATGGGGTAGAAATGCTCTAGGATGGGGTAGAAATGCCCCTGTGGGTTTCTGAGACGAAATCTTTCTGGGAGTAGAGAGTCCTGTCTTTCCCCTGGGGAGGGGCTGGTGATTTTGAACTGCTGACCTTGAGGTCGAATAATCACTACACCACCAGGGCTCCTTACCAGCCAGGTACTACAATATAAATCCAGCTGGTTGGACTATAAATTGGCTCCACTCTCTCCTCCCCTTTCCCCCTTTGTCAAGTGTGTTACTTTTATTGCATTAAAAAATACGTGTTGGGGGGAAATATCTATTGTTGCTAGGAGCACTGAGTCGGCTCTGACCTGCAGCGATCTGACACACAACAGACTGAAGCGCCCCAGGGCTGCGCCCCCCCGCAGTTGTTCCTCTGCCTGAGCCCACTGAGGCAGCCCCGGTGTCCATCCACTTCCTTGGGGGCCTTCCTCTTTTCCACGGTCCTCTACTTTACCAAACATCATGTCCTTCCCCAGGAACCGGTTGGTCTCTCTTGACAATCTGTCCAAAGTATGCAAGACGAAGTCTCTGGCTGTACCATCGGATTGTCAGCAGTCCACGGTACTTTCAATCCTCTTCCTCAGCACCATGGTTCAAATGCATCTTCTTCTGTCTTCCGTAGTCGATGCCCAACTTTCACGCGCATACGATGCAATTAAAATGATACCACGGCTTGGGTCAAGGTGCACCTTGCACCAGAGCCCTCAACGGAACGTCCTTGCTCTTCAATCCTCTGAAGAGGTCTTTGTGTTTTGTTTTGTTGGGTTTAAAAAGAAATCATTTTAATGGGGGCTCGTACAACTCTTATCACAATCCCTATCTGAAGAGGCCTTGTGCAAAAGATTTACCTAATAAAACTCTTCTTTTGGACAAAATAATAATTTATAAGTTATCAAGGGTTTGTGAGGGAGGGAGGGGGAAAAATGAGGGGAAAAAACCCCTCTTCTTTGGATCTCTCTCGACTGCTGCTTCCTGAGCACTGACTGGAAGCGCAATGCCTCTTTAAAAATGCTACAGTGTCACTGTGAAGGCTAAAGTATGTAAATGCCTCTTTAAAAATGCTACAGTGTCACTGTGAAGACTAAAGTATGTAAATGCCTCTTTAAAAATGCTACAGTGTCACTGTGAAGACTAAGGTGTGTCTGACCGAACCATAGTATTGATAGCCTCGTATGCACGTGAAAGCTAGACAATGAATACGGAGTCCAGAGAAAGAATCCATCCACTTGCATGTAAGCGTTGGCGAGGAAAGAAGACTACACTAAAGCGGCCTGGGGGAATAAGCAACGGTGGTGGTGGTGGTGGTGGTGTAACGACCTGCAGTTACCTACAACCACGTGTCGGGCTTTTCCCTGCGTGGGATGCCTTCCCTAACCAGCTACCTGATAGGAGAGCTCCCAATTTGCCCTCAGGACTCAGCTTTTCTCTGAAGACTTTCATAACCCAGGGGTCTTAGATAGACGTGGTCACTCTTTCCTCCGTACTGTCCGTCTACCCCGTATGTCCACCCTCACGCCTGGCACTCCCTGTATGGCTTTGCTGATTTCTTCCATAACTGCCACCCCCTTCAGCAACCCTGGCTCCTGCCGGAAACCAGCACCCAGGTGGCACCCAGCATGTGTCCGGGGTTTGGAAAAGGGATGTGAACACAGAAGGCAAGAGTGGCAGTGCAGGGATGCTCACTCCTCTTCTGGAATGTTCCGTACCTTGTGAGGCCGGTGCTTCTCGTGTACGTGAAGAATGTGGATCCTGAGCCGGTCCCGCTTCTCAAAGGACCGTGCGCAGAGAGAACAGGGAAACTTTCGGTCCCCGTGGTCCACACAGGCCGTGTACTTGAGGTGCTTATCTCGGTAGTATTTGTATGTGAACACTTTTCCACATCGCTCACATTTGTAACCTTCTGAAGATGCTGTCAAAAACAGGGTGAACAAAGGACAGTGGCTTTTTGAGCTACCATCTCTCCATCTTACTGAAAACATTCACTACACACATCCTCAATGATATCCCAAGAGAAATAACACGCCCCTGGACCCACCCACCTGAGCTGCCACAACCCTCCACTCCCACCCAACTGTTTCCTTTCTGGCCACGCTCCGTCCACAATGGAGAACAGGGTACAAATTTATTATTTGCCTAATAACTCTCCCACGACTATTATCTCTAAAGGATAACAATTTAAAAATTAATACTAGTGATGGTTGTAGAACATGTCATAAATATCACTGACATGTACGATTAAATTTGTATGTCTAGAAAAATTCTTAAAATGCAAAGGCTTTGTTCCATGTTACTATACTTTTTTTTTTGAAAGACAGAAATGCATGGCAGAACCGAAAAGTACAAAGGGGAAAAAAGCAGTAACATCTTTAAAAAGCACTGACCACACTAAAAAGTTAAATTCCTCGATGGAAATCTATATCCAAATACAGTGGGGCTTCCAGAAGTTCATAGGAAAATTCCCCAAGTGTTTTGAAGCCACCATGTATTTCTTCATTGCAGGCATTTGTTCAGTCTTCCTGGTGGCTAGATCTCCTACAGCTGTCCTCCCCCCACCCCCTGCAATGCATTTGTGGAAGCAACCCGTCCCCCAACACAATGCAGGAGTAGTCCCATCCCATCGTCGTTCTTAAACATTCTTGACTGGCACTTGTAAAAGTGACAAAGCAATCTCAGCCCCGGCTCAGCACCATCCACCAGTTTTGCAGGCGCCGGTGCTTCTCCTGGCTAGTCTTCACTTGCAAAGCTCAGCGTGCCCTCTCAGGATGAGAAAGGGGAGATGTTCGTTTGTACTGCGTGGTCTCTAAACGTTCGAGGGAAATCCCAGCGCTCAAATCATCTTGCATAAAGTTAGGCTAAAAATGGCCTTGCCTTCCTCGATAAACTAAGCAAGCGTGCTGATTAACTTAATGCTAACCCTTTACTGTGCAGTTCCTGTCACCATGTGATAGAGATGACCGTGAAAATTACACCTGCTGTGGAGGGAGGAGGGGTGGGGCGGAAGGAGGTTAGAGAAGGTGCAGGACTCTAGCCAAGGTGGTCCCAGGGTTCAGGGGTGTATATAAGTTGGGGGGAGGGGGGAAAGCCATGCCACCTACAAAAGCATCCCTGCCGAGCGCACTCTGGATTCCAGAGGATAAAGTGGCTTTGACTATGAATGCAGGCCTGGGACCTTTTTGTCCATGCCCAGAGAGTATGCATGGGACCCCAGGGAAGCTGTCCATCAGGAGCTTTGTTAGTAGACAGCCAGCATCCCAGGGCCCTTTAACAGGTGGCTAAGGAAATAAACCATTCATTAAGTAAATAATCATAAGGCAACCGACACCCCCAGACCTTGGATTGCCTATAGCTCTGTCTATCACTTACATTGAGGTGCTAATACCCCCTGCATCTTCCTGTGGGGCAGGTTTTCCTCTGGCCAGAAAGTTTCATTAGTCACAAATCCCTGGCCTTTCTGCTTCCAGGAGTGGAAAGAGTGTAGATGCAACCGTTAGGGCTGGAGAGTGTAGATGTGACCTTTAGGGCTGGGTCACTTTTATTAATGATCCAAAACAGGAAAGCCTACTAAAATTCCAAATCAAGATGCAGTTCCTGGGAGTTAGATGGACTCAAGGGCAGCGAGCTTGGTTTCTCCTGAGTTAGTGGTGGAAACCACTCTTGGTCCTCAGCCACGTGGTTCTTAGATCAACCCCACCCAGAGTGGCCTTGGAAGATGGTCCTGTTGGTTTGCTTCCAAAAGTCACAGCTTTGGAAGCCCTAGGGTGCAGCCCTTTGAAAACCCTACCTCCTAAAGAGTTAGTATCAACAGTAATGTAGGCAGTGGGAGGGTGGGTTACTATGTAGGGCCTTAGCTGCACATTTGGCCCAAGCAGTTGGAAATTCCTCATTTTTATTTCATTCTTCCTTCACTCAATTCCTTTTTCTAGTCAAGGGGTTTCTCAATATTCTTAAGATGCTTTTTGCTGTGTCATGAAAAACAGTTTGTGGACTTATGAAGAGTTGGCCTGACATTCTACAACTCAATCCCCCCAAATTTAAGAGGTATGTTTGCATTCTTTAAAAAATCCGTGCCCAGTGGGCCCAGAGTTTTCCTCCTCCTTCACTTGAGACCTTAAAAGGGAAATGTCCCCTCAGTGCCCCAAACAAAAAACAAACTCACGGACCTGAAGAGCCCTGGACTCTAACTCTTTAAGGGAGTAGAAAGCCTGGTCTGTACCCCAGGGGTGGCTGGGAGTTTCTATGTACAACCACTCCAACACGTGTGCTCATCCACAGTGTCCCGGTCCCAGCCCCACTACAAATAAAAAGCCTTTGTGGAAAACATTCAGAGCTGAGCAATTTTGATTTTCCTTCCCTTTTCATCACATCTCAAACAAGGTAGGAACAAAATAAATAAATAAAACGTAAGCAAAAACAAATGACCTCAGCCATAATTCCTCCCCACGAAGACGGAGTTGCTCGCATCTTTCTTCCCAGATATTGTCCAAAATGCCATTGTAGCAACGGTAAGCACTGGCTGGAATTTGATTCAGATCTGGGGTAAAACAAACCACTACCTCATAAGCTAGGTGTTCCCCGCCCCCCACTCCACCCCACTTAGAAACCCCTCCTCCGGCACCTAACAGCACAGACCTAACAATTCAGACCTGTGCTTCTGTGTGGTGATTACCAAAGATCTGTTCCATGTGACTGAACTACTCTACCACCGTGCACAAAGCTTTCCTTTTGGACTATTTATTTCCCGAAGATCAATTTCCAGAAGTGTTGCTATGACACGGAGCCCTGCCTAGGAGCACAATGGTTAGACACTGGGGGGTTAATCAAAAGTGAGTGTTTTTCCCACGGAGAAAAGAACCTGGTGCTGTGCTCCCATAAAGATGCATCAAAGTCAAACCCACTTGCTGCCCCTATGGCATCACTGCAACCCTTCCAGGCAGACGAGAGGTGCCTCACAAGGGTTTCCAAGACTGTACGTCTGTCCTAAGGACACTTGAAGTAGGCTGTCAATCTTTCTTCCGTGGATTTAAATCTCCTGCTTTTCTTTTAACAGGTGAGTGCTTAACCACTATGCCACCCTAGGCAACTGTAGGAATCGATCTGACAATGGCTCACATTATTAAAATACCAGACAGTAACTAGCTTGATACAATGCTGTCAAATACATTTCCCAAAGGATGATGATTACTTTTGAGTTTTTAAGCATTTTTTCCCCTCAAGCCCCCTTTCATTACCTCCCCACGACCAAACCTCCCCACAGTGATTTAAAAAACAAAAAACCCTAACCGACTTGTTGCTAAGTCTCAGACGAATTGGAGCACCATAGACTATACCCACCCTTCCCAACTTGGCTGACATCCCTGCTCCCATGGTGGGCTGGTTGGACGATTCACCAACATAGTCTTGTATAAAAGGCAGGTGAAAAAGTCTTTCCTTGCCTCCCACTCTAGGCAATCATGATTAATGCTAACACTTTCTTCAGCTCTGTCAGCTCCGTGAGGGGTGTAGTAGCTCAGTCTACTTGAGAAAAAGATGGTTATTATCAATTGCTTCCTAATCCCTGTTGGAGCTTGGCAGGGCTTTGGCTTCACAGTTCCCAGAGGCTGGATTGCCTTCCCAGTCGCTCAGCCTTGCACCTTTATTTAACTAAGCAGTCCTTTCCATGTAGTTCAAAGCCTTCCTCTCCCATGTAATACATACGGGGATCCAGGAGTAGGGCGCATTATTTTTGAGGATTTATTTCCTGCCCTGCAGGGTCTTGATTTAACTTGTTAGGCCGGTTGATGAATACTAACTTGCATGGCCTTTTACATGCATTGTTCATCATTATTGCATAATTTGCTACTCAATATTGTTACACTTTCGCATTTGTCTTGCTCCCCTTCTGGATCAATAGTTTTCAAACTTGTGTGTGTGTGTGAATTTACTTACAGAGCTTAATAAAAAATGCAGACTGGAGTGGGTTGGGAGCCCTCTCCAGCTCCTCACTATCCACCCAGATGGCCCAGGGACCAGGACCAGCAGCATCTCGGGTCAACAACCCAGCCCTCTACTGTGCATCTTAACAAGATCCCCAGTTCATACCCACAGTAAATTAGAGACGACTTCAGTGTCCAGTCAGAAATCAATGCTGTATTTGAGAATTAACATGTACATATACAAATGCCCATTGAACACCAAAGCTTCTCAAAACAATGTGAACTCTTCCAAGAAACTGTGATTTACATCATTATATTCTACTCCATTGTATTCAAGATCCTTTTCTTTACTGCGGGTCTTAAGCTCAGCATTGAGTTCTCACCCTACTCAGAAAGATTCTGGCAAGCCCTCTGGGTGCTCCAGTTCTCTGACTTACTTCATCAGCTATGTGGGACTGGGCAAACAGACTCACCCAAGGCAGTCAGCAGTTCATTTTCATTTCTGGGAAAGGACGAAGAAGATGAAGGTGAAGACTCTCCTCCAGCTGGGTTATGTCCCTGAGTTGGAGACACTCTCTATTGCAGTGGATCTCAACCTTCCTAATGCCGCAGCCCTTTCATACAGTTCCTCATATTGTGGGGACCCCCAACCAGAAAATCATTTTCGTTGCTACTTCATCACTGTCATTTTGCTACTGTTATGAATCAGGTGATCCCTGTGAAATGGTCGTTCGACCCCCAAAGGGGTCGAGAAGAATGGGTTGAGAACTGCTGCTCTACTGAGTCTCTTTCACTGGCCTTTGGGGAGAGTTCCCAGGTGGGCAGTGGGAGAGCTGGCTGAGCTTCCTTAAGCAGAGCCTCAAGAGGTGCAGCTGAGCATGCACTCACCTTCAGAGGGCCCAGGTAATGGCTCGCCCTGGTCTGTGGAATGAAGGTTCACAGGGATGCCCAGAAACTTCTCGTAGCAGTCTCCATACCACACCAGGAGCTCTTGGTTCCGGTGAATCTCCTTGCAGCTCTCGTAAAATATCTGCCCTTCACACTGCACGGCAACTAGGTTCTGTTCCTTGCGGAAGCGGGCACAGTTGACAAAGGACATCCAGTTCCCTGTCCCTCCTTTTCCATCTATAAAGTGGCTCAAATGACCGTCTTCAAAGATCTAAATGAAATAAGACTTATGGTTTGGAATGTACACATTTTTTTTCTTCTTCACATTTCAATCCTGATGTATTCGATTCTTGCATCATCGCAAGTAGCATATAAATTAACTGAGATGCAATTTTTCCTCTAGATCAGCGGTTCATAGCCTGTGGGTCGTGACCCCTTTGGGGGTCAAACGACCCTTTCACAGGGGTTGCCTGATTCATAACAGTAGCAAAACGACAGTGATGAAGTAGCAACAAAAATAATGTTATGGTTGGGGTCACCACAACATGAGGAACTGTATGACAGGGTCGCGCCATTAGGAAGGCTGAGAACCACGGCTCCAGATGATGTGACAGATTAAAAAATTTTTTTACTCAAGTCTCTCTTGATTTCTCAAGCAAACATGTTAACTTTATAATTGTATGAGTTATTTTTTAAGGGAAACAAGACAACCTTTAGTTGCAACATAGACAGATGATTGTACATTTTATTTCAACCAGTTTTCATAAATATAAGTTTTCTCCACTGTCTTTAATTTGTCATTATTGTGAACAACTTCATGATTAAAATGCATCACCTACATTGTCTTGAATTCCAGGTTATTTTCCTAAACTATATTCCTAGAAGAAAACCAGGGTCAAAGGTTTTCAGCATTTTCAAGGTTCTTGATACAGGAACCCACCAACATACCACTGAATCCCTTCACTAGCTTAAAGAGTAATCAGTTGTTTGTTTTTTGCTTTTAATATTTACCTATGGACCGATCTACTTATTCGGGAGTATCAGTTTTAAAGCATCTTTGCTAACTGTAACAGCAAATGTCAAATGTTAAAATTCGCCCCCAACTTTGGCCTATTTCCAACCATTTGAATGTATCTGTAAGGACAACTCAAAAAACGTCTTGTCTTTCACCCTTGGGAGAGGCTGGTGGTTTTGAACATCTGATGTTGTGGTTAGCAGCCCAATGCATAATCACGACCCCACCCTGGGACCCTCAACAGAGCATATTAATTCTTTAAATGGAAACTCGATGGCTAGTTTCCACAGACTAAAATGACCACAGGGCTTACAGAATTCATGCAAAGATGTTAACCTCCAGAGGGGATACCAGTCTTTTCCTCCCCCTTTGTATTGCAAAAGGGACAGCACTAGAGTTTAGAGCAGATTGCCACCCAGTAGGGTAGGCCAGGAACTAACCCTCCCAGTGGTGCAAAGGCCAAGATTTCGGGGCACCAGCTTCCCTCCCAATTCCAGCAGCTCCCGTGGAAGCATATTTACCTCCCACATCAGAGAATTGTCTCCACTGGTCTTAATTTCACTGGGGTGGACCACTTTTCCTTCGAAGGGACCAAACCGGACTCCTTTAGCAATGTGTGTATTACAGAACACGCCGTGGTGCGGGATGCCGCAGAACACGGTCCGGGAAAGGCAGAGACCTGTGAAAGACCAAGGCAGGACGACCAGTGAGGAGACACACTCGGCACTCATGGGCTAGGAAAAGAAACTCAAGTGAAGCCGTCCCTACCTTCTGGGAGCTGAACGGCATCTTTATCCAGCCTCTGATGAAGAGAATCCGATCCTAAAAGGGTAGGTGAGGTAAAGACTTTTTCCCCCATGCTTTTTCATATGTTATTATGAAACCTTTATATAAGGCACCCCCCAGATGTAACTAACCATTATTGGTGATGTTTATCCGTTCTATATGCTTTTACACATTCCTGTTCTTCCTCTACGAGCTTATCATAGAGTCGCTTAGGTGAGACTCCCAACTATCCTTGCAAGGGGGATCACGGTCCCAGCAGAGAGCTGAGCTGGAGCGCCACTGTGATACCTTGCATCCAGCTTGAATCTGAGCACAGATTACACACCTATCAAAGCATGAAGCCTTTCTTCCCTGACCTGACTCTCCTCAACTCTGACTCAAGGTGACCTTAGGAGTCATGAAGCTAATCTAGCAAAGCCTCAGAATTGAACTGAAGAGTCTTCAGGCTCCTCTGAAGGAAACACACTCCCCACCCCCACCCTCCTCCTGCACAGACAGACTCAGGTCCCTGAAGTGCCTCTTCTGCATTCCTACCTCTACTCCCATCCAACCCAACTCCAGGATGAAGTATAATCCGTTTACCAGCGCTGCCGGTGGGGATCACTAAACCAGAAATAGCATGATGCCTGCGGACTTGATTCTCCCAGCTGACAATGTACCCGTACAGGGTTAAGTTCAGGTCCTCCTGAGTGAAGTTGTAAGGAGGAGATGTCTCTTCTGAGTCCAGGGCTTGAGGGGCGTCCTCAGCCTGCTGGCCGGGGGAGGTGTTAGACAACTGGGAGGTCTTGGGACCTTCACGTAGCAGAGAGGCATCGACGGGGGTCTGCGGGATTAAGGTCTCCGGGCCATAGCACTGGCCGCTGGTCGTCTGGCCATCGCTGGGGCCGAAGATGTTGCTGCTAGCTTCTGTATACGGATTGCTCAGGAACTGCGGCACCTCCCTTGGGAAGTGGGGAACTGGGTACCACGGTGGCACCTTGGTGTACCTGGACAGATCATACAGCGATTCAGTCTGCAAAGCCAGGCCAGGGCTCAGCATGGGAGCTGCAGCCCCGAAGGCAAAGGGGAACATCGCCTGGGTCCCCGACACCGCGGACTCCAGCTGGCGTAAAGATTCTTGATAGTGCTCCTCGCCGGTGGTAAGGGCGTTGCCATAGTGGTTATACATCAGGAAAGGGGTGCAGTAGGCAGCGAAGTGGTGGGGGCTGTCCTGGAACCTCTCCGGCGGATAGAACACCTTGTCCTGGGGCCCGGCCTCCTCGGGCGGCCGCAGAGCCATCGCGGGTCCCCGGGCGCGGCGGGTCTGCGGAGAAGCAAGCGTGGCTCAGCGCACGTGGCAGGGCGCCGTCCTCCGACCCCCGCCCTCCTACTCGGCCCGCGAGCGCGAGCCCGCCCTCTCCCTATCTCCAGGGAGGGGAAGGTGGTGGTTCCTACCTCGAGCTAGCCCGGGGGCCGAAGAGGGTTAGGGACAGCTCCCAAGTTGAGCTCGCCGCCTTCCACCCCAACCACAAAAACAAACAAAACAACATCAACAACAACAGCAGCAGCAAAAATCCCAACGAACATCCGGCCGGATCTCGCCCGACTCCAAATCCCGGCTTAGTGTCCGCTGGACCTTCCTCTCCAAACACTCGGGGAGCAGACGCGACTGGGTCCCGAGAGATGCGCTCTCCCTCTCCTCCTGCAAAGCTGCTTTCTCTCCCCGGCGGCCCTTGAGGCGCACTTCCCAGAACAAGGTCGGAGGGCGCCGGCCGACCCTCCCGCCCCCGAACCTGACGCGAGGAGTTGGGGACCGTGCCATCCGCAGCCTTAGGGGCGGGCCGGGGCTCCGGGCGCCCAGCGGGGAGCGGGCAAGGGTAGGGCTCCCGGCTGGGAACGTGCGGCAGCCGGGCGCGCGCTCTGCGAGAACTCGGGGGTTCGGGCAGCCGGCAGCCCAGGCGAGCCAGCTGTCTGCCCGTGCGGCCGGGCTGCGAGGGGCGCACCAGGTCCGGGTCACCTCCCGCGCGCCGCGCGGGCCAAGGAGCGCTACCAACCTGGAGTCTCTGGGAAAGACTCCCCCTGGGGGAGCGCAGGGTTGGGGTCGCACCTCCAGCCCAGGTGGCACCGAGGGGAGCCTCGCCGGCCGCCTGCGCTCCGGGCCCCGCGCCGGCAAGGGTGGCTTTCTGATGGCCCCACAGCACAGGTTCACCAAGGGGGGGATGAAGCCCCTCGCGGAGGGCCGGATCGATGGGCCCGATAAGGAAACCCACAGGGTCGTGACTCCGACATGAAAGAACATGGGGTCAGCAGAGAGGTCAGCTTCGGCGGAGGCATCTGCGTCTCTCCTCGCCAGCATCCGCAGGCGTCCCGCGCTCGGTCGCCCCTGACCGTAGGTACCTCCGACTTGGGGTTGAAAAGCAGTGGAAAGAGGAAAAGCCCCGGAGAGGGAGGAACGACCACCCCAAACGAACTGCGTCAGAGGGAGCCACACGCGCTTCCAAGCCGCCGACGGTTCCAGGACCGCGCCCGGCGCCTAGCCCTGCACCCACCTCCGGGAGCGTCGCGGGACCCCGCGTGCGGCCGCGGGCAGGGCGCCCCGAAAGAGCCCGCGAGGAGACCCGGGGTCGGTGCAGGTAGTCTCAGGTCGGGCCCGAG